GCTCCTTCAAACATCATAAGTCGTTTCATCGTCAAAAGTTGATAGAAAACATATTATTACGCCGCAGTTGTCGAACAATTATACTTGAGAGCATTTCATAAAGAAACCATTTTCAAATGTCAAACAGGATAGCCGTTGCTTCTCGGATAGCAAGTATCCCACAAATTTCCGACCACGCTCATTTAAGAAAATAACTCAAAACTGTTTTTTTATGAAAACCTTTTTTGTGCTTAAATCATCTTAAGGCTCAAAAGATTACCTGAAAGACTATATTGAAAGCTCAGTCTCATCGCGCCTCATTTGTAAAATTAGTGTCAACTAGTCTGAAAAACGGAAAAATTTTCCGAGAAAAAGCCTTTCACGAAAGAGAATTTTTTAGAATCCAAATCAAGATCAATATGGCTGTCAGATGATATCATACATGAGACACTTGAACTTTTTTTACTCAATCAAATGGGAAAAAAAAACAGCCTACGCCATAGTTCCTTCCTTTAACTTCGTAAAGTGGTGGGAACAATAAAACATAACAAGAAATAATCAAGAAGCTGAAGAAATGTCTACCTGATCTCTGATTCGACGGAGACGATTTGCTTTTCTGTGACTCATTGCCGTGCTGACTGCTTTTGCCATTCTGAAATAACCACAAAAACAGCCATCAGACAGTTTAACACAGAGGCGAAGCTGAGCTTCGCACCACTTGCGAAACATCACATACATAAAAAAGGTCCAAAAGTAAAGAGTATCGAAAGAAATTCCTTCTAGGCAAACAAGCCAAGCAAATCATTTGAATATTAAATTTGCACTATAAAAAAACTTACGACGCGGAAACAAAGCGCACCATCTTTAAGCAGATATCAGTTGAGCGCAAAAAAAAATGTTTTCAGAAACAGTTTTTAACTACCCCTGAAACTAACAATGAACAACATTTGCAATCATAATCACAAAATGCTTGCAGCAAAAGGAAAGTCTGTGATGTGGCAACTAAGACGACAAAAATTAAGACCAACGAAGGTCCGATCATTCAATTTTTACCGGAAAAAAGTCCAACGGGGACTCTGACTTCAGTGCTTAGGGTGCAGAGACGACCAGGTAATTGTAGGCCAAGTAGGAACAAGCCTAGAAAATGTTAAGTTTCAATAACAAATCAGGCAAAATTTATAAGAAAATTGTTTACGGAAAAAATCTAGTTTCCGATTACAAGAAAATTCCCAACTTTTTCAGTTTCAAAAAAATATCACCTTAAAGCTCCTTGAATTGTAAGAACCTTTAGAAAAGGAAACTTAATACTAATTAGAGAAAACTGGGTCTGTTTGGTTATTAATTTTATTCTGTTAGGAAATCTTAAAACTGAAATCCATTTTCCGTCCGCATTCTATATTTTAGAGAGTAATTTTCGTTCCTTTTAGCAAATGAAATTGAATGGAACTTAAACAATCAGACTTTTTCCTGAAAAAAAAAAACGAACTAAAACCACCCCACATATACAAGTCTCTTCATTTTGATTATTGACAGAGGAACGAAAAGATCTGATCATGTTTGATTTGAGATGTTTTCGAACAAGAACAAGCAACAGAAAAAAAAGTTCAGAAGGGCATACTAACTAATACACTACAATCCTTGCCGATTCTTTAGCTGGTAATCACAGACAAATAGATTGCTTTGAGAAGAATGGAACAGTTCAACATTTGTATTTTCTTCAGAAGGATTTATAACTTATCTTGGCACGATAATTGTTCCGTTTTTTTTTCATAACCACACCGACTTTTTTTTTCATACCCTTTTTACAAAACTCTGATCCCTGGGGGGATTGATCTTTTGAGCTAAGTGGCCAGCAGCGTGTGCCAGCCACTAACCTGCCATGAGCATGGCTAAAACGGCTGGTTTTTTATCCCGCACTACAAAATCTTTCAATTGAATTGAGGCAGCTAATTGGTTTTATTAACTCCATACACGACTCAAACTGCAACACTTTTGATATTATCAGTCTGAAACTCATAATTTTGCCAATATTTAATTTACCACATTATCCGAGACCAAATAAAGGGCAGTCGGAATATTCAGGGCTTCGCCCTGATACGAGCAGTCTTGTTTCCATATATACTTAAGGAATGATTAAGCGCCCCGTTGTTCTGCATTCCTCTAACAGTTGACAATCAACGTTCATACATATTTCGCAAAAACGCCTACGAAAACGATCAAGACCGCATTTTCTAGATAGCACGTATTTCAAGCATACAGTTTCAACTTCAGCGTTTTTATACTCCATCCTGGGATCGAACGCCATAATAGGAAAAACCTGTTTCTTTTCCTTCCATTAAATAGCTTGAATGCTATTCAGAATACCCTCATCTGAATGCTGGAATTGGTCAAGCTATCCAGATATACCATTGCTTATGCACTTCCCAAAATTCCAACCCCGCCACAATGGGAGAAGGGACAATAAACGCATTAGTAGTAGTAACCTAGGATCGAAACCCGGCGATGTCCAGTTCTCCCGGCTGTGCTGAGTGAGGAGAGGACTGGCCTCCATCTCCACAGAGTCAGACCGGCTGTTCGTCTGGTGCATAAGAAGCAGCTTCGCACTCCCAATACTCTTCGATCTGCCTCGCATCTTCCCATCGTCTGCTGAGTTGGCACTGATCACTAGAACAAATGACTCTACTCAGATGTTTCAGTGTTTTATAAGTACTACGAAATTACTCAGATGTTTCAGCAAACAACATAATTCGCTGCTCGATCCAGACTGAAACCTTGGCTCTTTCCCGATACACCGCCCCCCCCCCTTCCCCCGTCATAATAGGAAAAACCTACTTGGTTACAAGACTAGAGGCTATAATGGGAAAGAGCCATAGCCTCAAATACGGACATTCTCAATTGAAGTATCTCGTATTCAAAGTTATAACAATGCTTTAGTGTTCCCTTTTTAAGCCAGCAATTCTTCTTTTACGGGCTTTTGCTGCCTATGAAAAGACATAATTCCGTCTTTGCACGGCTAGATGAAAAATGCCTTAATAAACATCTTTGAAAAATTGACCAGAATTGATTGTCGGTGAATTACAGCGGTGAATTACTGACAACTTTCGAGCTATGAAAAATGAACTTTAAAATTATTATAAAAATTATATTTATCATCAAAATTTCCTGTACCCCATTTTACAAAGCTTCTGAAAAGAAAACAGGCCAAAAACGGGGGGGGAATGGGGAATCTTTTAGGCAGTTTTTGGCCAAAAAAAAACGCGTTAGTTACTTAGCCGAATTACGTAGCTGATTTAGGGCGCAGTAATTTCTTTCATATAGAGGGCAATTGAATTGCCGATTTACCGCGAGGTAAATTCTTTCAGAAAAATAGGGGCATAAAAGCGAACATCACCAAGTTGTATATTTTTTGTTCAGTACCAATTTGGGTCAATTAAAAACAAATCAAAAGAAACGATTTAAATTAAAGAAAAGAATCAACCAAGTACCCACTAATTCCTCCCTGGCAGCGCAAACTTATTTGAAGGAGCAATTTGAGACCCAATTAAGTTCATTTAATTCAGTTCAAACTTACCGGGCGTATTATCTTACATTTTTAGTCAAACATTTTTCACAATCATGCCATTACGGGGTCTAAATCATTCCCCTCTGAGATTTACTGAAAGACAATTAACTAATGCCAACTAATCTTGATTTCGACTGTTCAACAAAAAATCTAAACTTCATGATGCACATAACTGAACAGATTCGAACAATTTCTCTCAAATGCAAATTACCGTATGAAGAAAATTTAGACAACTTCATTTTGAATTTTAGAGGGTGAACGAATAAGGCAATGGATGACACCCCCTCCCCTAATAAGGCCCTGCATCGGCCATGAGCTGGCATAGAAAATAGAGCCGACAGAAAGTTCGAAAAATCTTAGAAATGCAAGGAAGTTAAAAAAAAACGAGATGCAAAAAACACATTGTGCTACAAAGTAGTGAATGAAAAAATTCGAAGCCAGAAAAATTTTCTGAAAAATATGTTGGAAAAAATAACTTGAAAAAATAAATTGACAAAAATTGAAAAATTACAGCTGCAAAAATTTAATATTTGCATCAGATGAAGTTCATAAGCACTCCTTAAAAAAAGGATATCATTTACCGAGCGGCAAAAAATTTTGGGTCGAAACCTGCTGAGCCGAAAACAAAACTGTTGTAATAAAAAACTTCAGTTAAAATAAGTTCTTCCGACCCATCCAAACTGAAACACATAATCCCAAACAGGTATACTTTGCCCTCAAAATTACCCAAAAAATGACTAAGTCGATATAACAATGAACTGAAATTGTTAGAGCATTTTTCGCTGGGAAATCTGAAAGCCAAGAACCACCTTCGATACTTGACGTCGGTCACGTTTTTCGTGAACTTTAAAAAACAATTTTCGATAGAAAAGTCTTCCTTCATTTTAAAAAAGGAAATGAACTCGACTTTAAAAGACTAACTCAAACTACCAAAAACTTGAGCGCGAATTGTGAACAAATGTTATGAATTTTTCCTGAAAAAAAAAACTAAAAAAACAGCACTACATTCATAAAGGGCTTACTAGTGGGAACGGCTAAAGCCCAACGAATGACACCATGATACAACGCCCTTAGTGGGCTGGATTCAAACAGAAAAAAAAGACTCATAAATACGCTACTAAAAAGACTAAGTGCTCACAGGTTTCTTAATTCCTCAAAATAATTTTAAAAATAACCCATAATCCACAGTCTTTTTTTGTGCAGATAACGTTATCAAATGATTGCTTGGTATAATTGGACTACTTTTAACCAAATAAGATAAAAGATGATAGCAAAACACTCATTTGCGGAGGAAATATAGAAAAAGTTATATATAAAAAACTTCGAGCTTATTTGAGCGCTCTGGTACCTACCAGAAATCTAACACATTACATATTAACCCGGGTACCAACTGGTCGACAAAAAAGTAATAAAGAGGCGAAGCTTTGCTTCGCAAACACAAGCGAAAACACGAAAAAAAGCAGCTCTAAAGTGCAATAAGAAAAAAAGAAACAAGCCTCGAATTAGTAAAAACTAGCGTGTACCGCAACTCCGGTGCTTCGAATTTTTAACAACTCATAAAAAACCGTAAATATTGGAAAAAAATCAGCATAATTTAATTGTACTCTGACAGCACCGAATTACAGGGTTGGTAAGTTCAAATTTTGAAAAAAAAATTCTATTCCAGTTTTTTCAATTCGAATTTTTAAAAACCAGTAAGTTTTTTCATATCTAAGTTCTTTGAAAAACTTGAAAATCTTTGAAAAATTAAGATACATCACTTCTCAGAATCTAAAATTAATTGGGCAGTCGCATCTGGACGCAAGATTTGCAACTCCTGAGAGAGCTCTTAAGTACCCAGCTACAGCGTTGGGAATTTCAAATTTTGAGAAACTTTTGAAAATTAAACCAGAAAAAAGTCATATCACGAAAACAACCAAAAAATTTGAGCAGCCACAATTGGAGGAAAGATCTTTCGCAATGGGAGTGCTCTGACGGCTTCCAACAACAGGGGCTATGAACTCCAAAATTTGAAGAAAAAATAAATTTAAGTTTTCTGAAATTTTTTTGAAAAAAAAGACAAAAAACGTCACATCTGGAAAACTATAAAGACTTGAGCAGTCACAGTTGGAGGCAAGATTCGCAACACCTGAGACCTTGAGACCATTCTGAGAGCTCCAAACAAAACGGTTGGGAAATTCAAATTTAGAAGAAATAAAATTTAATTTAGGTTTTTTGAAAACTTTTGAAAAAATCATAAAAAAAACGTCAAATCTCGAAAACTACAACGATTTGAGAAGTAAAATTTGGAGGATTTGCAACCCCTGATAATACCCTGACATCCCCCAACTACAGGGTTGCGAATTTCAAATTTTCAGAAACTTTTAAAAATTAAATATTTCTAGAAATTTTTGAAAAATCTCGAAAATTGCCGAATCTCGTAACATAAAAGAATTGCCTATTGATATATGGAGGCCAAAATCGCAACATCCGAGGAAACCCTGACAGCATCTCACCATTGGGTTGCTACTTTCAAACTTGGTGAAAATTTCAAAGTTTAAAAAAATTGAAAAAAAAATATAGCTTAAACGTGAAAAAATTCTTTTGTTAAATATGCAAAAATAATACGTTGAAAAACTTAAACATGGCGAGATAGTGAAGCCCGCATTTAAATATATAAAAGATAGTTAATAGATAGATGATAGATGAAAGTTAAAAAATTAGGCGACGGGTAGACAGACATAATCAAATTAATTTTAAAAGCAAGTATACAGACAGACAGACTTAATTAGGCCTCGAAAAAAATACTGAAAAATTAATTACCTTAATTGAAAAATTTTCTTAAGCATTGCAATATATGATATAGCTTAAACATGAAAAAAATCTTTCGTTAAACATGCAAAATTATTATGCTTAAACATGAGAGATAGCTGTCACTCGCATTTTAAATATAGTATAGATAGATAGATAGATATAGATTCGACCTTTAATAACTCACAAACTCTAGCCACAAAAAAAAACAGAAAACAGATACGATATTTCAAAGCTACATATCGTGATTATAGCAAAAGTGCCACAAAATAACGGAACACTTTTATTTGCGGGTTAAGTTCACAAAGAAGGCTCGTACTAAAACACTAACGCTCGCAAGCTGGCTAGTGTAATGACTGAATCTATAGGAAAAAAAGGTATACCAAAAATGCGAGTATTTGCCATACACTTGTTAATAAAAAAAGTGACCAGTAAAACACCAGAGCTTTTAGAGACTAATAGTGAATGACCGAACACTCACTATGATAGAAACCAGTTGGTAACCTTGCCAATAGAAGTTAAAGCAAAAATATCTAGACAAGAAAATCACCACAAACAGTGAAATTAAATTTCGAGGTTAGCAAGGTAACCAAAAAATTTCAAGGTTATCAAAAAAATTGATAAAAAACAAAAAGTATACTTCGCATTCAAAAAAATTTCAGACATTCGCCCTAAAAAAGCCATCCGTGTGCATACTGAAACTCTTTTTTCTAGAAATAAAACAAAATCAAATGGAAAATAAACGCACGAAATTAAAGCGGAGCTTAACACTACTTGCATTACAACAACATGGCCAACAGACAGTTGGAAAAAAGTCAATAAACAGAAGTAAGCAAAACAATACTGACGTCATTTTTGAAAACTTTCGAATTACGCAGAGAAGGAACAGATGGCCTTGAAGTTCTTTAAATTTCTAAAAAAAAATTATGATTGACACTTAACACTATTTGAGAAAACAGGATCAATAGGTAAATTTTAAATTTTGCTGGGAAATCTAATAATTAAAATCCATTTTCCAAATTGAAATTAAATCAAAATTTTACACTTTTGCGACCTTTCACACTTTTGCGGCTCGATATTGGAGTTTGCCTTCCTTTTAAACAAAGGAAATGAACGTAAACTTGAAAATAAATCAAGCGTCAAACCAATAAAAATTAATTTGAGCCTGAACAAAGTGTAAAACAGTCCATGAAAAAAAAAAGCATTACTTCCTATATAAAGGTCTGAACTACGTTCATCGACTCTAGAAAACAGCACGGCACAACTAAACCAAAAAAAAAACGAATATTGACTACAAAAAAAACATGGATCC